AAAAGAGAGTTACCAAATATATTGTCAGAAAACAGCCCCCCAAAAGTCATATCACCTGTCCCTCTCTTTCTACCTCTTTGAGAAGAAATCCAATTTCTTTTCCAACCAGAAATTGCCTTACACTTGGGACACATGGGCTGGAGACTCTCTGAGGAGCAAGAGGCCACAGGAACAGATAGATCTGTGACAAAGGCTGAGAACTGTGCCCAGGCAGGGAACCCCTCACTGTACCATCCTTGCACTGGAGATGGATCAACAAACAGCAAATTAGCAGTGAGTATATGTTCACATCAAAACTGGCAAACGTATTGGCACAGCCAAGAACTTCTAACAACAGTATGTCAAGATTTTTCACATCCTCTCAGCAGACAAGTAGGTCTTCTCTTTAATCACTGGCCATTTTTAATGTGACAGAGCATATGAACACATGCTGAAAAATAACTAAAATATAACAATATAATTAAAGAGATTTAGAACAGAAATCAGAAAGTGATAGAGACCTGGCATCAGCTTGTCACTAAGGAAAAGGGCAGCTACACCAGACATGTAGAATTTTATTGAGTCACCCAACCAGACTTTCCAGAAAGAGAAAGACAAGGGCATTGAGATGTTTCTGTGTTGGCTTTTGTGGCTTTCTTTGGGTCTTTGCTGCTCACAGTACTTCTGTTCAATTAACACTGCTGACTATGTATTCTATACATTGAGGTTAAATAACTGATGGTGTCATGGCTGCTGGTGACTTCTCCCCAGCCCTCCTCCTAATTACTGGCCTTTTTGGTCTTTACTCCTCTCCCAGAAAATGTTGATGTTTTTTCCGGAGTGGACACCATGTGCCATCCACTCAGTGCAAGATCAAATGCCCTCTCTTCTAGGCCACTTCCTCCTTTCCCTCCTGTTTGCAGTGAGGGTGGACACCTGCATGGGCTGACTTACATCTGTACAGCTGGGGCTGTGCTGTGATGAGCTGAACAACAACACATGTTCTCCCAGTGCTTGTCCCAGCTCCTCTGTTGGAAAATAACCTTATTTCCTTCAGTAAAGCTATAAACTCAAGGGTGTGGTGGGCCTTGATTTGGCAGTGCTTTCTGCCTCCCACACCTCTCTGGTAAAAACATTCACATGAGGGCAGATAATTTGAAGAGAACAAAAATGGAAGAATCACATTCTTTAAAAAGGATGTAATTTCTCCATGGCAGTGTCCCACTGCTTTCCATTTTTTCCTTCAACCATGCAATCATTTTGAAAAGGCATCATTTAAAACAATCAAATTCTCAGAATAAATTTTTTTTTGCAACTCCCCTTTTCAGAGAGGTTTGCACACAAATTGAGAATTTTCAGGTTTCCCAGGCAAATGAACCTTGTCCGTTTGGGCAGAAGCCCATGCTAGCTTACATTATTTAGCATGGCATTATTCCATGCTGTTAACATATAGCTCACTGAAAATAAGGGATGATGGAACACCTTTTCCATGGCACACCCTGAATTTATTCTTAGTAAATTGTTTACTATGTTCTTGGCCTAGAAACTCACAATTCTCTGAGCCCTTTTTAAAAAACTACTTGCCCACTTTCAACTGTGGGGAGAAGGTGACCCCTTCAGTACCTCTACTGCCAAGCAAAGGGGGCAACTTCAGAAGACAGCCTGGCCACCACCTCCCAAGAGACAGAGCTGCTGCAATGGGAGAGCATGGATTTGTCAAATTCAGAGAATGAGCTTTGGGGATGAGGGAATCCTCTAATAAAATAAACAGAAAATTAAATTCACCTCCCTTTTCCTCTCACATGTCTCCCATCTATGCCTGCCTGGAAGAGAACAACGTGGTGCCTAGACATTAGCACTGAAAACACCACAACTCATTGACAAACACACAGGTCACATTTCTTCTCTGGCTCGACTTGAGGGAATCATCTCTTTTCTCCTGCAGAAGTTAATGCTGCATCCTGGTGACTAGCAGAGGTATCATCAGTGCCCAAATGCGTGTCCTTGTCACCACACTTATGTCACCACAGCCTGTGACTACTTGCACACGGACAGGAACGTGGGTCATGGGAAGCACTTGAGCTGTGCAGGAGTTTGGACTGTGGCCACATGGAGTAGATGGTGTCTCCTAACCCCAGAGAGGTTCTGCAGAGACTAAAGACGTATTAGAAATGTGACTCATGTCATGCTACTACCATGATGCATTTCTCCTTGTGCACATAGAAAAATTAATAAAGCATCTTCTATCATCCTTCCAAACCCATCTGAACAACAGCATCAAATATGCTATAAAACACAGGTAGTGCTTCTTAAATTAAGTGCAAACTTTAAATTTCACAGGGACTACTTTTGTAACTCTCTTCTACAAATTAAGAAGCTTGACTATCCAGAATTAAAACAAAGTGCTAGAAAAAAATCCAATTTGTATTCACATGCATATGTATTTTTGTGCATGCATGCAGCCAACCCTGTGCCTGTGTGTGCTGCTCTGAACAGTACTTGGTCACTTACACAGAAAATTGAATGTATTTAAATAAGGTGCAGCTTCTTCCTGCTCCAAACAAAGTCCATGGGCAATGCTGCTCTTTTCTGGTTATATTTACAAATGGGAATGGATTATATTTACAAACAGAAAGAGCGTTGTGTTATTTCAGACCAAGTTTGGCTGCTGCAGTGCTCCTCTCTGAACTTTGGGAAGTCTACATGCTGTATTTTCCCCCAGACTACATATCACATCTGCAGTACCATAAATCTGCCAACCTTTCCCACCACTTCTACTGCTAATTAGGCTTATTGGGGTTTCACTCTCGTACTCCCTATGTTAGATAAACGCAGTGTCAACTAACATGCTGCAAGCACTACTACCTGCAGAACTGTTATCAGGGCACGTCCACTGGTCGTGCTAAACCAGGGATGACAACACTGGGAACATTTTGGCAAAACACACTTCTGTGGACACTGCCAGTGAGTCAACAAACCCTATTTAGTATTCCACAATTAGTTCCCATAAAATATTTCAGAAAAAGAAAGAGATATAATAAGTTTTTGTTCGTTTGGGGGGGGGGGGAATGGGGGGGCAGCAACACGACACTAACCAAATTAACCTGCCCTGTAGTAGAAAAGCTGAAAGATATTTATTTTAATTTATAGGAAAAGCCCCTTTAGACATATATTTTAAAACATCTAGTGTTTCAGCAAGGCCTGATAGTTACTGAAAGTTACACAGCAAACAACTACACAACTTGTCTGAAAATATAATAATAGTAATAAAAGGTAATTTACATGAGTCCTTTATAAGAGCAATCTCTATATCCAGAAATGAGATGGCAGCATACTACAGCTAATCCAAATATTATAGCTAAATATATTTGTGGTAACAGATCTTAAATAGAAGGAATGAGAACTGATGTGCAGATGATCTGTGAAAGACTCAAATACTAATAAAAACTGGGGGAGAAGGAGGGGAGAAGGAGGATGGGGTAAGAGTGTTAAATCATTATTTCATGAGGCCCATATTCACAAAGCAATTTTTTACAGATGGTTGGAGGTATTTCTCAGCCCTTTACTGACAGGAATACGGGAGGCTCAGAGGTCTTAAGCAGCAATTCTATTCATAGGCCCTTAGCCTTTATATAATTGTATTAAGTGCAGTAACAGACATAAATTAACATGCACTGACCCCCCACTCCTAGCAATGTATGCCTTAACCTTTTAAGAAACCTCAATAGCAGTACTAGTTTAGTATTTGATACATCCTCTTTTGGGGGAGATTAAATGCTGGTCTAGGAGTTGCATGTACTCGAGGCTCTAGCAGGCCTTACCCATCTTTGGCTACGAGAAGCTGCTTTTCTTTCATATTTTTAAGTAAGCAGAGTTTGTCTACTTTAGTTGCAAACAAGCTGATATCAGTAAAGCACTGCTAAGCTTTATGGGTCCTAACAGAGTGTTTGATGTAAGACAGGTGGCAGGTTAGGAGCTTCTAACCTCTGAAGACATCTGCCCATAATGGCAGCTTTCTGAAGGAAGACATTTGTGTTGTTTTACAGCAAATTGTCCATTGCAATTTGTGGGCAGATAACGTCCATCAAGAAATTAGATGCCAAAATAAAAAGACAAAAATGGACTTCTTACAAAAATCCTTCCTATGTATTTCATTTACTCATAAACTGAATTTAAAATTTAAAATATGAAAAATGAACTTAAAATTCAAAATATAAAAAGACTTTTCTGTAGTTAATTATTTGTAAACTTTTCATTTTGTAACTGGAACGTATTTCGTCTTTCTCTAAAATTGCCACGTCTGAAAACAGAGAAGGGGACAATGGCCAAACCTGACTGAAACAAGGATATGTTTGGTTGTTTTACTGGGAGAGGGTCCTTTTGCTTTTAAAACATGTGCTATCAATTAATTTGCCTCTCAATTTTCTACCTCACGACTATAGTGGTAGACAGTAATTTGTACTAGCTGTCTCAAGGATGGTGGATAAAAAAAAAAAAAAGAAAAAAGAAAGAAATCGACCAGGCAAAAACTACGAGAACTGCAAATGTCGGACAATGCATTTAACCATGAAGTGGCAGAGTGTTAACTAGTGAATGAATGAAGGAAGCACGGAGATTTTAGGCAATGCTCACTAACTTTTTTCCTTCCCCACTGTCTTAAGATGACAGGTTTCTCTAGAAATCAACATGACGGCCTGTTTATATATCATTTGTAACAACTTTACGTGGATTTGCCCCCCTGTTTCATTGCCTTGACCTCCCTTCCAGCATCCTGAGCTTTCTCCCATGTGGGATGAGGTTGTTGCCTGTGCCTGGGGGCAGTAGGTGCTGCTGGAGCCCTGTCGGTGCTGGGGGTCGGGGGGCAGCTGTGGCCTAGTGCTGTGTTAGGCCAAGCCTGGCCGTAACCAGCGCCGGGGTCTGAGGGAACGGCAGCAGCCGGGAACCCGGACGGTTCCCCGGCTTTCGGGAGGGGCCCGTGTGAGGAATCCCGGGGGGTGGGGAAAGCCCGTCGCTTCTCTCACCTGCCTGCGGCTCTCGCTGCTCCCGCGGCGCCCCTGGCCTCGACGGCGCGGCCGCACCTGCAGGGAAAGGCAGAGGGAGAGGAGGATTAATCGCGCCGGAGTGGCTCCCGCAGGAGTCTCCGCTCCTCCCCGACTCACCTGGCTACGGCTTGCCCTGAAGCGTCGAGGGGAGCGGAGACTGGCTCACGGCCCCACCCGGACGCCCCTATCACCCGTGGGGATACACCCCCCCCCACACACACACACAGAGTACCAGAGAGGAGCCCCTCCAGCTGCCTCAGGCCCAGACCCGGCACAGCACGTCGGGGGAGGCGAGGCCAGGCCGGGACGCGCCTTGGCAGGGCCGGGCAGGAGCCCGACGGCAGGAGGAGAGGGCCGGGGCTTCCCCGGGGCAGCCCGGAGGGGTTGCCGCGGGTGCGTGCCCGGTCGGGTGCGGCAGGCGCGGCAGCGGCCCGGGCCGCCCGACGTGTCCAAGTGTCCTGCAGCGGACGGGAACCTGCGAGGAGCGAGAGCAGACAGAGGGGCAGGGCAGGGAGCGGGGCAGGGCGGCTGGCGAGAGGCGCCCTGCGGAGCTGCGGCGGCCGCGGAGCCCGGCCAGGGGCAGCCCCAAGCAGAAGGGAGCGGCTCCCGCTCCGCCCGCAGCAGCCGCAGCCCTAAGCATGGCAGCAACAGTTGGCTGGCAAGGTAAAGAGACGGGGAGCTGCACCATCGTGGCTCGGATTTCCCTTCGCGCCTGAGCTGCCCCCCCAAATCACTCCTGGTTTCCATCCTCTTGAGGGACGACAGTAGGCAGGGAACAGAGAGGATTTTTTATAGCCTTAGCTTGGCTGATCCCTCTTATCACATCTCTCTTTTTTTTTTCCCAAGTTCCCTCTACCTTGTCTCTCCCTTTAGAATATGCTCACATGAATAAAACCCCCGTAAAGATGTTTGCTGGCCACCAGAAAGTACAAACGTCTTTTTTTTCTCTAAGTAGAAGAGGATAAATAATTATAAAAATGCAAGGCTACTTAAAAGGTATTGTGACCCTTCCACCTTTGTTTTCATCAAGCCAGCTAGTGCTCAAGCTACGTGTCCTGAGCAAGAAGAAAAGGAGGGAAGGGAGCAATGAGGTGCTTTTGCTCTGCTTTTTTTTCTCACTTGTCCCTTAGCCAGCCTTTTACTCTTTTCTAAACTGCGAGCAAGTCTTCAAAATATCTTTTATTTCTCGAGAAATATTAACTCAGACTGTGGTCCTCACCCGATCTCTCCAATGCAGGCTTCCCTGAAATGCAAGATCAGCCCTTTCTCAGCCGGGTCTCCCTCTGTGCCGCTGTCGGGGGGAGGGGGGGGCAGATGGGAGAGCCCTTGTGTTTTCTAACAGCTGAGACATTGGATCGCACCCCCACCTCCCTTTTATTTTACAGCCGGGCGAACCATAGGCCCCTGTGTTGCGTCAAGCGGCCACTCTGCTACCAACTTGCTGCTTAGATCTTGTCTCTTTCACGAGGCTGATCTGCACGGACAGATCTGCGCTTAATCGCTGCTTCTTTTGGGGGGCGGCAGGCAGGGAGGATTTCTCTTTGCTATTTATTTCTTGCCCACAGAATCCGGGCTGGTAATTACTGCAAAGAGAGGGAAAATGCAGCTTCCCTAACTCCTGCCTGAGATGCTCTCAGTGCTGTGTGCATGCACAAGGCAGTTTCAGAACCACAGAGCTGGTGCTGATGCTGCTTTGCTCGCTTGCAATCACCTCGTCCAAAAGCATCGCCTCGGCTGGGTTTTCCCTCGGATTCTGCCTTTTTTACCCTTTTAGGAGGCTCTAGTTTTTGCGGAAAGAGTGAGTGAAGATATCACCGGACTGCAAGTTGCTTAAAATCAGGTTGGAAGTGGGCAGGGGGGAGGGAGGCGCCTTTGGCAAGCGCTTCCATGGTGCATCTCCTGCTAACTGGGGTCTCCCCCAAACCGCGGCGGATCCGTGCACCTCCCCCTCCTCCTCCTCCTCCTCCCTCCCTATTATTTATAGGGTGATCCCAGTAAATCCCACCCTCCCCACCTCGAAATAAACCGAGGCTCACGATTACAGAGCATTTAATGAATCGCTCCGAAGAATTTTTTTTTATGAATTAATCTCGATCAACTAGGACACCCATATTTTCAAACACGGCTATGCCCTGGAAGGAGGGGGGTCGGTGGAGGCGGGGGAGGAAGGTGAGGATAGGAGAACTTTTAGGAAGTTTTAATCTATTTTTATTTTTCCATTAATGAAATAAAAAAACCACCATACAGTTATCCGAATAAACGTGTGATTTGCTCCTTTAGGCAAAAGTCGATTAAAAAGTTAGGCGACGGGGAATATTTGGACGTCTGGGGGACCAAGCGGAGTAGGAAAGGGGGGAAAGGGTGTTTATTTCTCTCACTACATATATATCTAGAGACACATATATACACTCACAGCGGGAGGTGGGGTTGGGGGGGGTGGGTTGGACGGGGGAAAGGGAAAGGGTGCCAGGAATTAATAATAGAAGCCCACAGAGTCTAGATAAGTCCAAGGCTCGGCGATCGCAGCTGCTGCTCCTTCGGCGAATGCGCCCTCCGCAAATGCTTTTTGGGGTAAGGGCTTCCCGGGTAGGTAGTTATGTACAGCAAGCCCAGACCGCAAAAAGATTCGCGAAGGACAAAGTCTCCCGCGGCTTCCTACATCCATCCATCCGGCTGCCACCATAACATCCACAGGACCCACGGGCGATCGGCTCCGCCGTCCCCCGCCACGCCGGGTCCCCACCCCCCATCTCCGCCAAGTCCCGTTCCGAAACGCAGGACCCCGCCGGGGCGAGGCGGCGCTGGGAGGGAAGGGGGGGTGTCCTGCCACCCGCCCTCCCCCCCGCGGCGGGCCGGCGGCGCGGGGCCGCGGAGCGTGGCGGAGCGCGGCGTGTCCGCGGCCCCGCTCCGCGCGGAGGCTCCGGCGCTGGGCACGGGCGCTGCGTAAAGAGAAAACTCTCCCCCCTGAGCGCTAAATAAATAGAGAGCAGGCGGGCCTCTCATTGGTGCGGGCTAAAATCGTCACCCACCAATCAGGGGCCGCCTCACACTGCCTCGGTCGGCTTTTTTTTTTTTTTTTGCCTTTTTTTTTTTTTTCCTCCTTTTTTTTTTTTTTTCCTTTTTTTCCCGAAAGGGGGAGAGGAGAGAAGAGCGGGAGGGAAGGAAGGATGGATAGAAGGAAGGATGGGGGAAGAAAAAAAAAAAGAGGAAAAAAAGGCCCCCTCCATGTTCAATTAGTCACCAAATCCGCGACAAGAGCATGTCCAAGAGTGCGGCTGGGCCAGCCCAGATCCCTTCTCGCTTCTGCCGCTCCCCGAGCCCCTCTCCGGGAATCCTCTGCCAAAGGGGCGCCGTTAAGCTAAGGACCAGCCCCGCCGCGGGCTACCCCGGGCGCAGAGCCGCCGGTCCCCCCGGCGGGGGCGCCCCAGGCCGCCCGCCACCTCGCGGCGGGCAGCCGGGGACACGGGGACCTGCCGCTGCCTCCTCCCCTATTCCTCCCGCCTCAGCGCGGGGACCCAGCCAGACCCGAGGGGCGACCCTTCCGGGTCGGCGGGGGACGCGGGACGTCCCCTCCCCTCCGCTCCTAAGCGCCGTCCTGGGCGCTAAGCCACCTGCCACCGCCGCCGGCGAGGACACCCGCTTGCTAAAAGTTTCCAGGACGTGTCACTGAACTCCAGAGGTCTTCTCCTGAAAGCCTGCGGGGAACCAGAGGCCCCGCCAGTGCCCGGCGGCAACGAGAGCAAGACAAACACACGTCCGCGTCGCGGCCCGCCCGGCCGCCGGCATCCCGAACGAGCTGGGGCAGAGACCCGCGGGGGACCGAGGGGACTCGCATCCGGGCCCGAACTCCAGAACTTGCAGTTCCACCACTGCCCCGCGGCGGCAAAGGGTCCCGCGCGAGCGGCACGGGAAACCCACGCGTGACGCCCCCGCGCGCGTCCCATCCCGCATGGCCGCAGCTCCCTCCCGACGCTGCTGCCCGCCGGGCGGCACGAACGACGCCCCGCGCCTCCCGAGCCCCCGGCGAGACCAGCGGCAGCGGCGCGACGGAGCGGAGCGGAGCGCAGGCAGGACGGGCAGGGCGGCCGGGGCAGCGCAGGCAGCAGAAGTTTGAAAACCTCCAACACTTACCTGGCGGGGCGCGTCCCTGGCCGCTCCGGGGAGTCCCGCGCGGGGTGCAACCATCACCAACAGTGTTTTGGTGTTTTTTGGTGTTTTGGTTTTTTTTTTGGAAAGCCCAAAAGCAAAGCGTCCCTTCCTTCAGGTGTGTATATAAGTTACTGTACTGTGTGGGAGGGTCACGATCTCACTAGGTGCAGAAGATTCCCCAGGATTAACCCCTCCTCTCCCTACCCCTTCTGCAACTTGTTGAGGATTTTATACACACACGCGCGCAGGCACGGGCACACGGGCACACACACACACACACGGACGGGAGAGCAAGGAGAAAGCGAGCTCCGCGGAGTCCGGCTGCCCCCCGACGCCGTTGTGATTGGATGGTCTTTTCATGGAGAGGGGACGTCTCAAGTCGAAGTCACGATTTCTCCTCAGTTTGGAACCATCTGTGACTGGAGCCATGACGCAGCCAGAGCACATTACTCACTTTTACAGTCACGACTTGGAAATCCGTGCAGTTTCCAACCAAAATTACACCGCCACCATTGAATTATTTAATAGGATCCAGTTAAGGGTAATCTTATGCATTGTGTCAAGTGAGGCAACGATCTAGGAGGGGAGGGCTGGGAAGGCGAGGGAGGGGGCGAGGAAGGAGGGCATTTCTTGTTTTTAATGCCTGTTTTGTAGAGGTATATTAAGAGTTGCAATGATTGGCTACACGTGTTGCAAAGGGTTTTTTTTCTTGCTTTAAAAAAGCAACCAAAAAAAATAGATATCTGGTCCGCTTGTAAATACGACCACGCAAGCTCGGGGAAGGGACGGTTTAGACATTAAGAGGAGCCGTGGGTGGAGTACCGTGCTGTGAATTCAGGCGCTGGTGTTTGATTAATTGCAAGAAATTATGTCTTTTGTATGCCTAGATTAGAGCCATTGCATGCGGTCTTGGC